GCCATTCTCCTGCCTCAGCCTCCCGAGTAGCTGGGACTGCAGGTGCCCGCCACCTCGCCCGGCTAGTTTTTTGTATTTTTTAGTAGAGACAGGGTTTCACCGTATCTGCTTCTTTTAACTTGCCTTCAGCTCAACAATCCTTCTTATTTTGGGACAGCATATTCTGGCCCCAGACTGGCCCCGGACAGTCAAAACATTCTCCTGACCTTTCTCTCTGGCTGTTCTTTGTCAGTTTCCTTTTTCAGTTTCTTTGTCAGTCTCCTCATCTGTGTGTTGAAGCTTCCTTGGGTCTGGCCCTAGACTCTCTTCTCTATTTTCTCTTCACTCTCTCCTTTTGGGATCTCAGCCATATCCATGGATATAAATACTATCTGAATAAGCTGATGAGATGCAGACTTATATTTTAAGCCCACATCTCTCTGTGCTCCAATCTCATGTGTAACTGCCTATCTGGTATCCCCAGTTGGAAATCTCATGGGCATCCCGGACTGAAGGAATCTGAAATCAAACTCTTGATTCCTCGAATCTATTCCTTTCTAAATCTTTCCAGTTTCAGTAAATTACACCCCATTTACCCCATTTCTCAAGTCAGAAAGTTCAGAGCTAATTATTCATTTTTCTCTATTCTATTCTTCATTCTTCATTTATAATACATCATCAAGACCTGTCATTTCTGTCTCCTAAATATATCTTGACTCTGCCCTCTTCTCCCAATTTTCACTGCCACCACTCTTTCAGGACACCATCATCTCTTATATGAATTGCAGCAACAGTCTCCTTATTCAGTCTGCTTCCACTTTTGCTTCTCTCCAACCCTCCACACAGTAGCCAGAGTCATCTTCATTTCTTAAAGTCTCTCTTTAAAAATTGAAGTATAACAGCCAGGCGTGGTGGCCCACACCTGTAATCCCAGCCCTTTGGGAGGCTGAGGCAGGCAGATCACGAGGTCAGGAGATTGAGACCATCCTGGCTAACACAGTGAAACCTCATCTCTACTAAAAAATACAAAAAATTAGACGGGCGTGTAGTCCCAGCTACTCAGGAGGCTGAGGCAGGAGAATGGTGTGAACCTGGGAGGTGGAGTTTGCAGTGAGCCGAGATCACGCCACTGCACTCCAGCCTGGGTGACACAGCAAGACTCTGTCTAAAAATAAATAAATAAATAAATAAATAAATAAAATTGAAGTATAACATACATATAGCAAAATCCTTTAAAAATAGAAATCAGATTATATCACTCCTCTGCTTAGGCTTTCTATTGCCTTGAGAAAAAAAAAAAAACTCCTTACCATGATACGTAAGTCCCCTCAATAATCTGATTTTTATTTCTTCTCCACTCTCATCTACAAATCTCCCTCTTACTATTATACTCCATCCATACAGGCCTTCTTTCAGATCCTCAAATACTCTTTGGAGTTGTCTTTTGTTGTTGTTTGTTAGAGATAGGTTCTCACTCTGTCACCCAGGCTGAAGTGCAGTGGTGCAAGCATTGCTTGCTGTAACCTCAAACTCAAGCGACCCTCCTGTCTTAGCCTCCCAAGTGTCTGGGACTACAGGCCACCATACCTGGCTCCTTGGAATTCTTTTTACTTCAAGATCTTTACACATCTGGTTTGCTTTTGTCTTGAATGATCTCTTATCCATTCTTAGCATGACTCCTCATTCTTCAAGTCTATGTTAAATGTAACCTCCTCGGAAAGGCATTCTATGACATTCCTAGCCAAACAGCACCCCCTTAGCCTATTAGTCTCTATCACTGTAAGATTCACAAAGGCAAAAAATATATCTGTTTATTCACCAATGTATAACCAGTGCCTAGCACAATTCCTGGCCCATAACAGGTATTTAGTAAATACTTGCTGGATGAATGAATGAAAGGACTGATGTGAGAAGTAAAAGTGGTACCCACTCTTTAGCAGACCAAACAACTCTCCAGTGAGGCACTTTTGGGGTCCCTAAAGACAACGATGTAATGCATGTAAAGTGCTAAACTTGATGCTTAGCACAATGTAAGAATTCAGTAAATGGTATCACATATGGGCAATTATATATAATGCAGCTCTTGGGGCTTAGGAGGCCAAGATAAAGATACTACAAATTTACAGCAGGCAGTGAGGAGAGGGGGCAAGAAATTTTCTTCTCTCTTCCAAACCCTTTTCCTTACACCAAGCTTCCCCCGGCAGAGCTGACACAATAGCACTTTAGGGATGAGAAACAATTTTTTTCTCTGAGACTACTGTCTTTGATCTATCTAAGTTAATCAAATCTGCAATTGAGCTCAGCCAGAATCTGCTTGTTTAACCTTTAAAATACAGGTCCTGTCTCTGAGAGACTGAGAAAAGAGAGAAATGTCAGGCCTCTGAGCCCAAGCTAAGCCATCATATCCCCTGTGACCTGCACGTATATATCCAGATGGCCTGAAGCAATTGAAGA